CAATTTACTCAATTAAACCAATCAAATTTTAAATCCTTTCACTATGGTCACCGATCCGATATTTAGGATATTACAGAAAAGAATAAATTGCTTGCTGATGTTAAAATGCTACAAGGGGTTTGTATTTATAGGTACATTTTCCAGATCAGAAACGAAAAATAGGACATGAATTACGCAATCAATTTACTGTTGTAATATTTCAACAATAAGTATCCACCGAGGTAGAATGAAATTACCATGGACTTTAGACTAGGATGAACCTATAAATTCGAAATTCAATCCGTTAACGCTTCAACAGCTCTTGAATCAAATTTATGAAAAAGCCAGCAAGGAAGAATACAATGACGAGTTAGGGTAATTTTGGGGAGTGAATTGTCTTAATCTTGTTACAGCATTCTTCCTTTCTAGCTTTACCATTAACTTGATTCAGGAGCTGTTGAAGCTTTACGAAATCGGGTTTTGGATTTATAGGTTCATACCTAGTCTAATGTGCATGGCAATTTCTTTCTACCTTGGTGGATACTTTGTCATTGATATGTGCGTGGGAAGTTTGTTTCTTCTCATGTGTGAGAGGATGAACAAGCAGAGGGCCATCGACTTTGCCACGGAGGTGGCATCGGGACTCATCTACGGTGATTCTTTGTCGAGTGTAGAACTACTATTCATTGCCTAAAGTTTTTCTCTGTCACTGAGCTGAAGTATTTCAAGTTCGATGCCACTATCACTCCTTAAACGAGAAAAGAAAAGTGACAGTAAAACTCTAGATAGTATCAAAGAAGCTAGAAATTAAATTGGCAGGAAGTCAAGTAAAAAAGTATTAGTCAATACAATTTACTTTTAAAGAAATATCCAATCTATAGCATACTTCAGGTAAACATAAACTCTCATAATAAATTTACAAATTAGATGAAGTAGAATCTCAAACCCTCTGCTTCATTGTTTCATCAAGCAGTACCAGAGAAACTTATTATAATTTTAACAAAATTATATATATATCTTCGCATCAACTTTTTCATCAAGAAGCAATTCGCCCGAACATACTCAAATAATGCTTCCTCAATTTTCTTTCTTGCACTTTACTTGACCTGCAGGTAAAATTTTCTAAATCAAATATGTTTTGAATTCAATCATATATATGATTATTTCAAAGGATATATTTTTCCTTATATCTATTGTTGTAGTTCGACTCGAATTTAAAGTGACATAAATTAATTAATATTTAATTGTGAAAGTAATAATCTTAGTTTGATTAAAAGTAGAGAACTTTATTAAAGTAGAGTACTTTATTAAAATACTTTTTATTAAGTAGCTTTTATTTTGATAGTATCTGGTGTAGTTAACCTTATTTTTAATGTTTCCTTTACCTATATATATCCTTGCGTTACCGACGAATTTTCTATTAGGAATGAAAACCTTGACCTGTTAATGTTATTATTCAACTCTCCATTCTCCAATCGTTCGGTAAAAGTTTCTTATGCGTCTCTCTAACTTCTCTTTTATTCATCAATACATTATTATTTTGTTAAAAGCGATGATCTCATCCGATTTTCAACAGGAACTAGTCTTTTCGAGATAGCAACAGGTCAATAACCTTTAGCTCCCCACACTATGGTAACCTCTTATGCAGGAAAAGTCTTGGTGCCTTCTTATTTACTAGATGATTACGAGAAAAATCTAAATTAGTTAAAGCATGCTTGGTAAAAACAACTAAGAAAATGAAGAAACGAGCATATACAAAAAGGAGGCATATGAAGTAAAAAGAAGGTTCCTTAGTCATGGTAAAACTACTTACACATACAATATGGAATTATGGTAAAGCACACAAGGGACTACTTAGAAGGTATGAAACTTGGTTTTAAAGGGAGCAAGGTGTCGTGACCGTCCCTTTTTATGGGGCCACAACCGGGTAGGTACGCCAAGGCCAACCATGTATAGGGCCTAGTGGCAGGGTAGAATAAGCTTGTCCTCTTTTCAAGCATTTTAATGTTTTAGGTAGGGAGTAGGGGTATGACTTACTGTCCCCTGTTCGAGCATTTCAACGTCTATAGGTAGCATTTCTACTATTTTGTTTTCGCATATATGTAGGGGGTGGACAGCCGGCAGAGTTTGGGCTGATCCACAGGTAAAGGTACGTGTCTTGTGAACACCATCGAGGGCCGCCCCTACGGCCTAATCGGTGGTGTGGGTGAGTCTTCTGTAACCCGATATTTCTTTTATTAATAAAACATTTTTCTCTCGGAGAAGTCCGGGGGTTGAGGTGTGCATCCGCTATGCCCCACGGGCTCGGATTATTGGTCGAAGGACCATGTGGCTATAACGATCTAACGCAATGTTTGTTTATGCTTGATCAGATCTACGAGATTAAGGCTGACTTGGTTGGGAAGCGTCCCTTTCGAGTGCCACACGGATTAGCAACCGAACCAACTAGGCTAAGTCCGTGACACTTGGTATCAGAGCACAGAGGTGCGTGTTCATTTACTAAAAGCACGGAGGTGCTCATTTTGTTGAGTAAAGCATGATAGTGCTTGTTACCTGCTTGTGGCACAGCTGTGCACAAGTGCTAAACCTAGCACAGAGGTGCTTCGCCTCAGGCCGCAGCACGGAGGTGCTCGGTTATTTGTAAAAGCACGGAGGTGCTTGATTTTAGATTGTAGCACAGAGGTGCTCAATCATTCCGATGCAAAGAGGTGCCAGAATTTAGATTGAAGCACAGAGGTGCTCAGTCATAGTTGGCTGCACAGAGGTGTCAGTCCTCGATTGAAGCACAGAGGTGCTCAATCATCTTAGCTACACAGAGGTGTCAGCTCCCGGCTGAAGCACAGAGGTGCTCAGTCATTTTTTTAACTGCACAGAGGTGTCAGTTCTCGATTAAGCACAGAGGTGCTCAATCACTTTTGGCTACACAGAGGTGTTAGCTCTCGATTGAAGCACAGAGGTGCTCAATCGTTAATTCTAGCACAGAGGTGCTATGGATTCAGCACAGTGGTGCTCTTTTCCTTCCTAATTTAGGCACGATTGTGCTTATTTGTGTTGCAGGCATAGAGGTGCCAGCGAGTTACAAAGAATGGTTCGCACACGAAATGTCGGAGCAACAAGCTCTCACAGAGGTGTAGAGCAGGAAGTTACTGAGCCGGTTGCACCAAGAATGGTTCGCACACGAAATGGCGGATCGACAAGCTCTCACAGAGGTGTAGAGCAGGAAGCTACCGAGCCAGTTGTGCAAGAGACTGGTTCGGTTGATCGACGGAAGCTAGAAGAGATCGAAGCCGCACTAGCTGCCCTTAGAGCTCATATGATATCTGGTGATCGTATGAGGAGAGTAGAGGAGACCCAAGAAGATTTGCTTGAGACAGTGACTGATTTGGGCAATGAGGCAAGAGATGCCATAGGCGTGATACAACTTGGGTATGATGAGCTGAAGGCTCAAGTCAGTGTGCTTCAGGCAGCGGTAGCTAGTTTGACCGCAAACCCTATTGAAAGAGTGGGCATACGAGCCAAGATCCCTGATCCTCAACGCTTTGATGGAGCGAGGGATGCTAAAGAGCTTGAGAATTTCTTATTTGACATAGAGCAGTATTTTCGGGCTATGCGCACGGAGTCTGAGGAAGATAAGGTGGCAATGGCTTCGATGTATCTAGGTGGTGACGCTAAGTTATGGTGGCGGTCCAAGTTCAAAGATGGAGTGTGCTCCATTACGACTTGGGATGCGTTAAAGAAGGAGTTGAAGACCTCCTTCCTCCCCGAGAATGTTGATTACAACGCTCGTAAGAAGCTAAGGGAATTATCCCACACTGGGACTATACGGGAGTATGTGAGAGAGTTCTCAACCTTGATGTTGGATATAAAGGATATGTCAGAAAGAGATAAGTTGTTTCATTTTCTTGAAGGGCTCAAGCCATGGGCTAGACTCGAGTTGCAGAGACAGAAGGTTCAAGATCTGACAGTAGCGATAGCTGCTGCCGAGTGCCTTAATGATATAACGATCATCCTGGAAAGCGCAAGACGCCTTCTGTGAGTGGAGCTAACACCCAACAGGTTAGTGGGAACAAGTTGGCTCGAGGGGAGAAGACATCGAGTTGGGAGCAAATAGAAGAGTCCCTGGAAGGGACCCAGCTCAAAATAAAGTCCCTACTGGTCCTGGATCGAGCAATGGAGGGAATAGACCCTCGTTAAGGTGTTTTCTTTGCAATGGACCTCATCGGGTTGCAGAGTGTCCACAACGAAGTGCTTTTAATGCCATGGTAGCAACAACAAAGGACGGAGAAAGAGTGAACGCTCCGATGGGAGATACTGAGCCTGAGCCGGCTAGAAGGGCTCCATCCGATTCATAACTGCATTACAGTCTCAGTTGAGTAACTTGAGGAAAGAACCAGAGGGGATTGATGTATGTGGACATCTCAGTAAATGGGAAAACCTCTAAAGCTCTAGTCCACACAGGGGCCACAGATACATTTATCTCCTGAGGAAGCGGAGAGATGTAAGTTAATTGTCACCAAGGAGGTGGGACAAATGAAAGCAGTTAACTCTGCCGCTTCAATGATATGTGGAGGTGTGAAGAGGGTCAGTATCAAGCTTGGGTCTTGGGAAGGAAGTGTAGATTTCACTGTTTCCCATATGGATGATTTTGACGTGGTATTAGGGCTCGATTTTATGATGGCATCCCAGGTGATTCCTGTTCCGGCATCAAGTTGTTTAATGTTCATGGGGGAGCAGCCATGTGTGGTACCAGCTACGATTCTCCCTCGTCCTGGGAAGAAGATATTGTCCGCTATCCAATTTAAGAGAGGGGTGAAAAAGGGGGAGCCCTCCTTCTTAGTCTTTCCAATTTCCAAAGAGGATGACAATCTTGGCATGGTGCCCAGGAATGTTCAAGAAGTGCTGAGAGACTTTGAGGATGTAATGCCGGGTGAATTGCCGAAAGAGTTGCCCCCTAGACGGTTGGTGGACCATGAGATTGAATTAATTCCGGGAGTAAACCTCCTGCGAAATGCCCATATCGGATGAGTCCTCCGGAGTTGGCAGAGTTGAGGAAACAGTTGGATGAGTTGCTCCAAGCAGGATTTATTCGACCCTCGAAGTCACCTTTCGGGGCACCTGTGTTATTCCAGAGAAAACATGATGGGAGTTTGAGATTATGTGATTATAGAGCATTAAACAAAGTGACTGTCAGGAAATAATATCCCATTCCGTTGATTGCCGATTTGTTCGACCAGCTGAGTAACGCTAAGTATTTCACGAAGTTGGATCTTAGGTCGGGATACCATCAAGTGAGAGTGGCCGAAGGGGATGAGCCAAAGACGACATGGTAACTCTGTATGGAGCATTTGAATTTCTCGTTATGCTTTTGGACTAACCAATGCCCGCTACTTCTGCACTTTAATGAACCAGGTGTTCCATGACTATCTCGATAAATTCGTAGTCATCTACTTGGATGATATAATGATTTTTAGCAATTCGATAGAAGAGCACTTGGAGCATCTTCGGTTGGTGCTGACGAGATTACGGGAAAATCGGTTGTTTGTAAAGAAGGAGAAATGTGCTTTCGCCCAAACGCAAGTCCAATTTTTGGGCCACATCATGAACGAGGGCGCATTCGTATGGATAAAGAGAAGGTGAAGGCTATCCAGGAGTGGCCGACCCCACAAAATGTTAGTGAGCTTAGATCTTTCCTTGGTTTGGCCAATATTATAGACGATTCGTAGAAGGTTATTCGTAGAGTAAAGTTACTCACCGATTTGCTGAAGAAAGGCTGCGAGTGGGTTTGGTCCAAGGACTGTCAAGAGGCCTTTGACGATTTAAAGAAGGTGTAATCAGTGAACCAGTGCTTACCTTGCCAGACCTAGAAAAAACCTCTGGTAGTAGAGACAGACGCATCCGACTATGCAATTGGAGGCGTACTCTTACAAGACAACATCCCGTGGCGTTTGAGAGTAGGAAGCTAAATGAAACTGAAGCGAGATATACGGCTCCAGAGAAAGAACTTCTCGCAGTAATTCATTGCTTGAGGATTTGGAGGCATTATTTGTTGGGTTCCAAATTGTGGTAAAGACCGATAATACAGCAGTTAGCCACTTCCTTACACAACCGAAACTAACAGCAAAGCAAGCTAGATGGCAAGAGTTTCTGGCCGAGTTTGACTTCAACTTTGAGCATAAGGCGGGGAAAAGAATCAGGTTGCTGATGCTTTGAGTCGCAGGGCAGATTGGCAGCACTCCGATGTGTGGCCCCTATATCCGCTAGTAGAGTGTCCAATGAAATCGTCAGCTCCTTGTGAACTTTTCCAAGCAAGATCCGCAAGTGGAGGCCCTTATGGAGATGGTTAAAAAGGGTGTTTCGAAATGTTTTTGGATAGAAAATGGCTTATTGATGACAAAGGGGCCACGAATGTTTGTTCCTCGAGCTGGAAATCTACGACAGAAGCTGTTGAAGGAATGTCATGATACCCCATGGGCCGGGCATCCGGGTTGGAGGCGTACTGTTGCTTTGTTGGGACAAGGGTATTATTGGCCTAAAATGCGCCAAGATGTGATGGATTACACCAAGACATGTTTATCTGTCAACAAGATAAGGTAGATCGACAGAAGACTGTGGGTTGCTCGAGCCACTACCCGTACCCGCCGACCTTGGGAGAGTATCTCCTTGGATTTTATATCATGCTTGCCTCGAGTAGGAGATCTTGGATCAATTTTGGTGGTAGTGGACAGGTTCTCGAAGTACGCCACTTTTATACCAGCATCAAGTATTGTTCGGCGAGAAGACTGCTAAGTTGGTGTTTAAACATGTGGTGAAATATGGGGCATTCCTCAGAGCATAGTCAGTGACCGAGATGGAAGATTTATTGGGAAATTTTGGAAAGGATTGTTCCAGTATTAGGGACACAACTCAACTTTTCGTCGAGTTACACCCTCAAACAGATGGTCAGACTGAGCGATTTAAGGACTCTTAGAGGAGTACCTAAGGCACTTATTCAGGCCAATCAGAAGAACTGGCCTCCATTATTGGATGTGGCGCAATTATGTTTTAATTCACAAAAGAGTTCATCTACTAATAAAAGCCCTTTGAATGGTGACAGGTCAGCAGCCAAGATTCCTCACACGTGGATGAGACCTCTCAAGGTAGATGCCTCGTGCCTCAAATTTTGTGGG